TCATCGTTATTTGGCAGGCCGGGCTGGATTCGAACCCGCCAGCTCTGATGTGTGTGGCTGGCGCGTTAGACCCTTGAGCCACAGGTGCTGAGTTATTTATTTTTTTTGAGACAGTTTCATTATGTCGCCTTCGTTAGAGTGTGGTGGAGTCATAGCTCACAACAACCTCAAACTCTTGGGGTTAAGCGATGCTCTTGCCCCAGCGTCCCAAGTAGCTGGAACTACAGGCGTCCTCCACAATAACCGGCTATTTTTTGTTGTTGTTGCAGTTGTCATTGTTTAGCAGGCCCAGGCTACATTCGAACCTGACAGCCTGGGTGTATGTGGCAGGCGCCCTAACCACTGGACTATGGGTACCACCACATCACTCACTTTATTATTCTAGGAAAACCATTCATTTACTGTTTTTTTTTTTTTTTCTTTTTGAGACAGCCTCAAGCTATCCCCCTGGGTAGAGTGCCATGGCATCACAGCTCACAGCAACCTCCAAACTCCCTGGGCTCAAGTGAGTCTCCTGCCTCAGCCTGCCAAGTAGCTGGGACCACAGGTGCCTGCCACAACGCCCGGCTATTTTTTGGTTGCAGCCATCATTGTTGTTTGGCGGCCCCGGGCTGGATTTGAACTTGCCGCCTTAGTTGTATGTGGCTGGTGCCTTAGCCACTTGAGCCACAGGCGTTGAGCCTTCATTTACTATTTAAATTGGACGCAAACTTTATGTCCATTTCTGTAAGCTAATATATAGCACATTATCAGTTAGGCTTTGGCTTAGCAACAAGGGATGAAAACCCAAAACAAAAGTATCTAGCTTAGGAAGCCCAGGGCGTGTATGAAGGCTCTGCCTTTTCAGGGACACTGACACCTTCTGTCTTCCTGCTTGTAATCCTTAGCTCCTGTTCCATCAATACTTGCAGATGGCCAGGCATGCTGGGGCCCAGGAGCTAGGATCAAATTTAAAATAGCTGCTCAAATGCCAACCGTCATATTAGCATTCCAGGTGGCAGGAAGGCGTAGGGCAAGCAGAGAATACCCCTTCCCCAATTTTAAGGATGCTTATTAACAGTTTAGCCCAACACTTCTGCTTTCATTGACTGTTGAGCTGTAGCTTAGTCACATGGCCATGCCCAGCTGCAAGGTAGTGTACTTTTTTATACCTAGTGGCAATATGCTTAGCTGCAAATAGACATCAACACAGAAGGAAAGAATGGCAACTGATAGTCTTCCACAAATCTAAAGCAGAATTTAAGCTTAGTTTATGGAATCAGACTACCTGGGTTATAATTCTAACTGCTACTTTGGGCAAGTTACTTAATCTCATTGTGCTTCAGTTTCCTCATTTGTAAAAGGAGAATAATTGTATCTATCTCTTGAGGGTTTGCTGAGAGTTAAATGTGATATGCTGTCTCCAATGCCAGAACAGTGCGCGATAATTGTCAGTTACTAGAAGTAATACAGCTTTGATCCCCACCAGTAGGGCCCCGGGTGAAAGGTTGGTCTATGTGGGCACTGCTTGGGATTGGCGATACTGGTCTCTGTAATAGAGCCTAGGGAGAGGAAGGCTAAACTGCTGAGCTCTCTCTTCTGGCAGGTTTGGCCACGGCACCTTTCTGCTGTGCCTGGAAACCATTTACCGGAAAGTGACGGGGAAGGAACTAAGATACGTGGGCTTGATGGGCAAGCCCAGCATCCTCACCTACCAGTATGCAGAGGACATGATCAGGCAGCAGGCAGAGCAGAGGGGCTGGACCACCCCCATCCAGAAGCTCTATGCTGTGGGGTAAGCTCTGCTCCACTCCTTCATAACTTCCCTTCTCCCTCTCCACACTCACCCCCTTGTTTCCCTGTATCTCATTCACACTCCTACCCCCGAATTGTCCTGTGGTCCTTTGCCTTACAATACTAAATTTGGATTTTCTTGTCTTCCCTTTTCCATGTGGCTGCCCTGCCAGTGATAACCTCACATCTGACGTCTATGGTGCCAATCTGTTCCACCAATACCTGCAGATGGCCAGGCACACTGGGGCCCAGAAGCTAGGACCTGAGGGCCTGTGGAAACAGCGGCCCTCCACAGTCCAGAGCTGTGTCTCCATCCTGGTGTGCACTGGCGTGTACAGTCCCAAGGACCCAAAGCCTGCCCTGGGAGGAGAGGAGCCTCCATTCCATGGGCACCGGGACTTCAGCCTCAGTCCAGGGCTCATGGAGGCATCCCACATTGTGAATGACGTGAATGAGGCTGTGCAGCTGGTTTTCCGTGAGGAGGGCTGGGCTTTGTAGTGATGGGTGGGTGTTGGAGGTGGAGAGGGGAGGCTGGAGCTACAGGTGAATCCTGTCAGCTGAGTCCAGCTGGTTACTGTGCTCCAATCAGGGCCTGGCTTCCTCCCCAGTGTCTGTTCTGACCACCTGTGATATTACTGGTCACCTGGAAAAAGCCAATGGCTTTTTTTCCCTGCTAGGCAGTAGCCACAGAAATGTCCCCTGGGTGGTGTTTCACATGGACTATTGGGATTTTCTGGGTGGGATTCCTGTGTGTCTCTCCTGGCAGTCCGACCTCAGGCCTGTCCTTTTGCACTTTATCTCTGTGCCTCAGTTGCCTTCTTATTTTAGTAGAGACTTCTGAGAAAGGGGAGGCAGTTGAGACAATGTGGAAATTTCCACAGAGCCTTTGCCCTTCTTGAAGGAACCACTGTGTGTCAGCAAAGTGTGGACCTAACACTCAGATACTACTTTTTACTATATTTTAGTTTATTGCCCAGAGACTTTTGGGCTTATTTTTTTAAATTAAAATAAACATAATCAATATTCACGATGGTGTCTCTTGTGAATGTATCTAAAATCTGGTGGGGAGAGGGTAGTGGGTGAAAGGTGTGGGTGGCCAGGGTGCAGAGAGACAAGTGGCACCTTATGGAGTGAGTGCCTCGCCTGTCCTGCCTCTGCTCTTCCACCCCACACCCACGCCCAGTCTGGGCTGCGAAGCCCATCTCTCTCTCTAAGAACGAGTTGTGCTGGCCTTGGCATATACTTAGTGACTTCCCTGGTGTGGAAAGAAAAGGGATCTTGTTAATGGTTTGTTCTAAAGGAAGGAACTTTTCCTACAGTGATTCTAGAAAGTATATGTTTCTACTTAGCTCCCTCTCCAGGAGTAATCCAATTCTGTTTCTTCATTTGTCTGTGTCACCCAAAACCTGGGCATTTAAGATCCTTGAATCAGTAAATTGTCCTCATTTAACCCTGAGGTTGTTTGCATTTGACACCATCTGATGCCACCTTCCTCATTCTTGAAGCAGTCTTGGCTCTGACTTCGTCACTCCTCTGGATGCCTCATGGGCATTTAAAAGTAAGGAACCAAGGGATTGGGAGAGAGCATCTGGAGAGCAGAGGATGCCAGCTTCTGTGGCATCCTAGAGCTGAACAGAGGAGGGAGTGAGGACTGTGCTCTCCCCAGGATCAGCAGAACCCTGTCCAGAGCCAGACTGTCCCTGCTTCTCAACACGTAGGCCATGCCTCCTTGTAGTCTTCCCTATCTTTGGCCAGGGTGCTGCTAGGCCTTGCCCTCAGAGTATATCCCGTGTGTCCACCCCCACTGTAAGCCTGGCTCTGGCCCTGCACCTCGCCTGGCCTGTCCAGCAGCCTCACGTCTGGTCTCCTTTTCTCCACCACTTGGCACAGATGTCTGTCAGATCATAGGGTCTGTCCTCTGATCAAGGCCCTTCTGTGACTTCCTGTCTCAGGGTAAAAGCCAAAATTTCTTAACCATGAACCAAACACCTCCCTGTGTTGTCGCACCACCACCTCTTGGGCCTCACCTGCCTCTGTCCTGTGCTGCTCCACTGCTGGTGCTCTGCGGGGGCCTCTGCTCACAGCCAAGTTCTGCCTGGCTACCACTGCTTTTTTCCTCATAATTTCTTTTGTTTTTTCGAGACAGAGCCTCAAGCTGTCCCCCTGGGTAGAGTACTATGACATCACAGCTCACAGCAACCTCCAACTCCTGGGCTCAAGCAAGTCTCTTGCCTCTGCCTCCCAAGTAGCTGGGACTACAGGCGCCAGCCACAACGCCCGGCTATTTTTTGGTTGCAGCTGTCATTGTTTGGTGGGCCCGGGCTGGATTTGAATCCGCCAGCTCAGGTGTACATGGCTGGCGCTTTAGCCGCTTGAGCCACAGGCGCCGAGCCTCCTCATTATTTCTTAATTAAGGTCTGGTGGATATGTCATCTCAAGACTTTTTTTTTTTCTTTTCAGACAGTCTCAAGCTGTCACCCTGGGTAGAGTGCTGTGGTGTCATATGTCACATCAACCTCCAACTCTGGGGCTCAAGTGATCATCTTGCCTCAGTTTTTCTATTTTTAGTAAAGACAGGGTCTTGTTTTTGCTCAGGCTGTTCTCGAACTCGTGAGCTCAAGCAATCTACCCGCCTGGGCCTCCCAGAGTGCTAGGATTGCAGGCCTGAGCTACTGCTGCTGGCAAGACTTTTTTTTTTTTTTGCAGTTTCTGGCCTGGGTTGGGTTTGAACCCGCCACCTCTGGCATATGGGGCTGGCACCCTACTCCTTTGAGCCACAGGCACCGCCCAAGACTTCTTGACTTCCTATAAAAATAGCACTCCCCATCCCCTGATCCTAGGACTTATCACCCTCTGACCAACATATACTTGTTTATTCTGTATCTCCTACTAAACGAATTCACAAAGTTCTGTGAATTTTGTCCATATTAATTCACTATTACGATGTTCTCCACATCTGTCTGCCTGGCAGTTGGCAGGCTTCAAGAGATGTTTGCTTGAGTAGATGGCCCTGAGACCCTCCTACAGTGAATCCTCCCATAACCCTCAGGGACGTGGGTGCCCTGAGACCCTCCTATGGGTGAACCCTCTCACAGGTCCTCATGGACCAGGATGCCCTGAGACCCTCCTGCTGTGAGTCCTCCCATAACCCTCAGACCAGGGTGCCCTGAGACCCTCCTATGGGCGAACCCTCTCACAGGTCCTCATGGACTAGGATGCCCTGAGACCCTCCTGCTGTGAGTCCTCCCATAGCCCTCGGGGACAGGGGTTCCCTGAGACACTCCTGCAGGGCGTCCTCCCACAGATCCTCAGGAATGGGGTGTCCTGAGACTCGTATAATGAGCCCTCCCATAGGTCTCAGGGACATGGATGCCCTGAGACCCTCTTACAGTGACAGGGGTGCCCTGAGACCCTCTTGCAGTAAGCCCTCCCATAACCCTCAGGGTAGTCCCTGGGGTGAGGGTGCCCTGAGATCTTCACAGTGAGCCCTCCCATAGCCCTCGGGGAGAGTTCTGTGCTTGCATCTCCCTTGGGGATTTTGGAAAAATGAGAAAACCAGGCCTGGAGATGGAGTCCTACCCCCACCTCTCACTAGCTCTGTGGCGTCATGCAGCTGACTTCACTTCTCCAAGCTTCCGTTTTGTCAGTGTAAAAATTGTTGTTGACAATACCTGTCTTGTAGGATTATGTGAGGGCTAAGTTTTTTTTTTTTTTTTTTTTGAGACAGTCTCACTATGTTGTCCTCAGTAGAGTGCTGTGGCATCACAGCTCACAGCAACCTCAAACTCTTGGGCTCTAGCAATTCTCTTGCCTCAGCCTCCTAAGTAGCTGGGACTACAGGTGCCAGCCACAATACCCAGATTTTTTGTTGTTGTTGTGATTGTCATTATTGTTCAGCAGGCCCGGGCTGGGTTTGAACCTGCCAGCCTTGGTGTATGTGGCTGGTGCCATAACCACTGTGCTACAGGCACTGAGCCAGGAATAAGTTGTTTTAAGTACAACACTGTATCATTTTAGATTCTGTTCTGCTATGCCTCACAGAAATCTGACTACAGTGGTTTGACAAATAGGAAGCTATTTTTCTAAGCAGTAGGAAGCTCAGAGGTAGGTATTTTAGGCTGGAAGATCCACTCAGGGATGTTCTCGAGGACTCAGGGGCTCACCCCACCATCCTTAGTGTGTGTTGTGTCAAGTTGCAAGGTGGCACTGCTGTGCTTTTGGGCCTCATCCACACTCCCGGGGGAAGGAGGCAAGAATAGGGGGCAAAGCAAGTGCAGCCTGACTCCCTGTAGAGAGCTTCCCAGAGGCACACCCCACGACTTTCAGTTCAGTGTGGTCAATGACAGTGGGCTCACACAGTCACCCCTAGCTACAGGAGGCAGGGACTGGCATACTGTGTGGTTCAAGCAGAGTTAGGGTTCTGTTTGTGAGGAAGGGCAGGGCAGCAGGTGTTGGGTGGGCATCCTGCAGGCTGACTGCAGTGCCTGCAGGGCCCAGGACTACTTCTGAAAGTGCTCTGAAGAAATGCGCCAAGGCCTGGCCTTCTGAAGCATCTTAGGTGGGCCTCATCTGAGATGCTGGGTTGGGTAATAATCTTACTAACTTACTTTTGCATAGTCATTTTCCAAGGCATTTTAAAATAGGCATCATTTGTTCATAATTTGTTAGAGCCTCACAAAGCCCCTGATGGAGAGAGAAATTTCTTATTTATGCCATTGTTATCAATTAAGTTACAAAAGGGGAGACCATTTTTCCATTTCTGAAACACCAAAGATCTACTAGGTGCCAGCCACCATTCTGAGCACCACAGCAGTGACTGTTCATTGGCCACAGTACCTGCCCTGTGCCCTTCTCCTTTTAGTGATGTTGCACCCAAAGTCACAAGAAAGGAGAGACTAGGATTAGAGGCTGTCTCCTAACTCTGAGTTCTGCCCAAGCACTGCACCAGAGGTCCCCAACCCCAGTAAGCCCTCTGCCTGCCCTCCAAGCATCACTGATGTCCTGGAGCAGCTGCTGCTGTGGATTCAGCCTACGTGAGCTCTGTGTGGGCCAAGTAGCTCAACCTCATTAAACAGAATGGCAGCTATGTGCAGAGGGGGCTGGAGAATCAAATCCAGCGTGGCCACCTGGGGAGCAGGTGTGCAGACTGCTCTGCTGTGATGTGGCCGAATGGCAGCACCTCCGTGTCTGCCTGCTTCTGGCTGTATCCATTTGATTGGCCGTCCTTTGGACTTTGTGGCCTCTGCTCCCCTTTCTTACTTGTTTGGGTTTCCTACAGACCTCACAAGCTAGTCCGGGCTGGGTGCAAAATAGCAAGTGTATACCACACAACACATGCCAATCCGTCATGTAGACAGGCCAGCCACTCCACTCCCATTCCAGTCTTGTCCCTTAGTGCTTTGACTAAATCCCCAGAACCAAAAGTCACAACCAGTGCCTTCATTTGTTCAATCCCAAGCTGAGTGAAAATGTTACCATGTTGTGTTTTGAAGGAGCCAAGGGAATAAAAAATAAAAGACTTTGCAAGTCCACTTAAATAGGACATAAGCTTTTTTTTTTTTTTTTGAGACAGAGCTTTAAGCTGTTCCCCTGGGTAGAGTGCTGTGGCATTACAGCTCACAGCAACCTCCAACTCCTGGGCTCAAGCGATTCTCCTGCCTCCACCTCCCTAGTAGCTGGGATTATAGGCGCCTGCTGCAACGCCTGGCTATTTTTTGGTTGCATCCATCATTGTGGGCTGGATTCGAACCCACCAGCTCAGGTGTATGTGGCTGGTGCCTTAGCCGCTTGAGCCACAGGTGTGCAGCCATAAGCCCATATTTTAAATGAAATTACTAACCTAGGACAAAACTTCCATCAGGTGTTTGTTGCCACCCGGCATCTGCCCACTGCCCAAGAGAAAGCCAATATCCAGAGACAGCAGGGTTTACAGCAGAGAGTTTATTCTGCATAAGACTGGGTTGGGAGACAGG